CTCTCTCACAGAGTCTTCTAGGCTTCTCAATAGCCGTCTGGGTCATCCAAGTCTCTCGAAGCTTCAGCATATGGTTCCTTTTTTTTCAGGTCTTAAGTCTTTGAATTGTCAGTCTTGTCAGCAGGGAAAGCATACTCGCTCTTCCTTTGCTAGTAGAGTCAATAAGAGAGCTGCTGCTCCCTTTTCTATTGTTCATTCTGATATTTGGGGTCCGAGTCGGACTATGTCAGTTTTGAGTTTTCAGTATTTTGTAACCTTTATTTATGATTTCTTCCGTTGTACTTGAGTTTATTTAATGAAAAATCGTTCTGAGTTATTTTCAATTTATCAAAAGTTTTGTGCAGAAATAAAAACTCAATTTGGTGCTTCTATTCAAATCTTGCGCAGTGATAATGCAAAAGAGTATGTGTCTCTTGAATTTTCTAAATATCTGGATACATATTTTTGGCTGTACTTGTTTTGTTACTGATCTTACTCCAGGTAAAGACAAGTTGACATCCAAGGCCTTCAAATGTCTTTTCCTTGGGTATACACGTTTTCAAAAAGGGTATCGTTGCTATTCTCCTGATCTCAAGCGTTATATCATTTCTGCTGATGTCACTTTCCTTGATCAGCAGCCTTTTCACTCTACTCCGTCTCCAGTGTCACAGGTTGATCAGGTCCTTCCTGTTCCTTTTCTTGACTTGTCTTTACCAGCTGCAGGTGACCCTATTCCAGAGGAGCAACCCATTACCTCCATACCTGCAGATCGTCCTCTCCTCACATACCAGCGTCGTCAGCCTGCACCTCCTCCGACTTTGCCTCTTGATGACTCATCGCCCTTTCCCGTCGGCTCTTCTCCTCCGGATCCTCCATCAGAGACTCCTCCCATTGCCCTTCGGAAAGGTATTCGATCCACTCGAAATCCTCATCCCCTTTATTCTTTCTTGAGTTATGACATACTTTCTTCACAACATTTTACTTTTGTTTCTAGTCTCTCTTCTGTTTCCATCCCTAAAACCACAGGTGAAGCACTATCTCATCCAGGGTGGCACCAGGCGATGCTTGATGAAATGCAGGCACTTCACTCCAATGGCACTTGGGGTCTTGTTCGTGCTCCTCCCGGGAAATCTGTTGTTGGTTGTCGATGGGTGTTCACAGTTAAAGTTGGTCCTGATGGCACTCTTGATCGCCTTAAAGCTCGCTTAGTGGCCAAGGGATATACACAAATCTTTGGTCTTGATTATGGGAATACCTTTTCTCCTGTTGCTAAGATGGCTTCTGTTCGCCTGTTTCTTGCCCTTGCCGCCATTCATCACTGGCCCCTTCTCCAACTTGATATTAAGAATGCTTTTCTACATGGTGACTTGCAGGAGGAAGTTTATATGGAGCAACCACCAGGTTTTCTTGCTCAGGGGGAGAGTTCTGGAATGGTATGTAAACTTCGGAAATCTTTATATGGCCTGAAGCAATCTCCTCGGGCCTGGTTTAGCCGCTTTAGTTCAGTTGTTGAATCCTTTGGCTTAATCAGAAGCAAAGTCGATCATTCTGTCTTCTACCGGCATAGCTCTTCTGGCCAGTGCATTTATCTCCTGGTCTATGTTGATGACATTATCATTACAAGCAGCGATCAGACCGGGATTGATTAGTTGAAAGAACATTTATTCAATCAATTTCAGACCAAAGATCTTGGCAGACTTCGATATTTCCATCTGTCAGAGGAAGTATGCACTGGATATCCTAGATGAGTCTGGCAAGTTAGGCTGTAAACCCATTGATACACCTATGGACCCCAGTGTTAAGCTATTACCAGGACAAGGGGAGCCACTGCCAGATCCTAGTCGCTACCGCCGACTAGTTGGAAAATTGAATTATCTTACTGTCACAAGGCCAGATATCTCCTTCGCAGTGAGTGTTGCAAGTCAATTTCTTGATTCTCCCTGTGACTCCCATTGGGATGCAGTTATTAGAATTCTCTGATATATTAAAAAGGCGCCAGGAAGAGGTTTATTATACACAAATAAAGGGAGTTCAGAGATCTCTAGTTATTCAAATGCTGACTGGGCAGGTTCTCCTTCAGATAGACGATCCACCTCAGGGTATTGTGTTCTCTTCGGAGGAAATTTGATCTCTTGGAAGAGTAAGAAGCAAACTGTGGTCGCCAGATCCAGTGCGGAGGCAGAATATCGGGCAATGGCAAATGCAACCTGTGAGCTCATCTGGCTGAGACAATTGCTTAAGGAACTCCATCTCTGTGAACAACGGCCTATGAAGCTCATTTGTGACAATCAATTTGCATATATCCTCTAACCCAGTCTTTCATGAGAGGACCAAGCATATAGTAATTGACTGTCATTTTGTTAGAGAAAAGATCCAGTCAGGGGAGATCGAGACAGCATTTGTCAATTCCAATGATCAACTTGCGGATGTATTCACTAAAGCTCTTAGAGGTCCCCGAATAGATCATATTTGTAACAAGCTGGGAGCTTTTGATATATACGCACCAGCTTGAGGGGGAGTGTTAGAAATAATATTAGTCTATTATTATTAGATTAGTCTAGATTGTGGGCTTAGCCCATTAGGACTTTTAGTCTCTATAAATAGAGAGCTTTCTTGTACAGTTATACACTCTTGAATATACAATAATATTCAGATTCAACTAAAGGGACTGAGTAAGTAAAACATATAATATTAATTATGGAAATTTAATTTATTTCCATCATAAGATATGAGCTGGCAAGGGACCGTTTGACTTTGCATATACATGAATCAAGCATGACCAACATACACCACATCACACTCCCCATACAAGGTTGTGTTGTAGGAATCCATTGTTTCTTTTGTTCATGAATGCAATTATAAGGAAATGATCAACATGCCATTAGCGCTACCATTCTCCATGACCTATTCCATCACTAATCCACTGTTGAGTTTCCTAAAATTTGGAACTATATTGTTAGAGTGTCCCTTTCTCTCTTATTCCTTTATTCTCGTCTCTTTCAACAAGTCCTAAACCGGTTGCGCTCGTTGCCCAGTGACAAATATCACAAACCCGTTGTGCCCTGATATGAACCTTGGGAAGACCTCACCCGAAAAGCTAGCTCATAAAGAAGGAGAGCCCAAAGTCCATATAAACCCCAAACCAAAACCTTATATTTCTAATGTGGGACTCAAGTCTCATACCTTGCAATAGGATCGTAACATCCCACAACACTCCACAACCCCGACGCCCACGCGGCATGTCTTCGCAATAGTCTTTTACTAGCTTTGGGCGAACACTTAACTGCCAACCGCGCCACTCGATTGCAGCTGGGAGATATGGTGGAAGGCTCTGATACCAATTGATATGAACCTTGGAAGAACCTCACCCTAAAAGCTAGCTCGTAACGTAGGAGAGCCCAAAGTCCATATGAATCCCACACCAGAACCTTATATTTTTTATGTGGGACTCTAAGTTTCATACCTTGCAAAAGTATCATAACATGCCCACTATACAACAGTGATTTTCATTCTCATTGTGCCTCATGACTCATTCCAACAAGAATCCCCCTGTCGTTCAATTTTCCGATGACCAGAAAATTTTCTGACCAAATGTAGAAACTCTTATATCTAAAGCGCCTTGTCTAGGCCATCCAGATCCTAGGGGCATCTGCCTTCTGACCAAGGAGACTTTTTCTATCGCCACCAGCCTTCATTACTGATCCACGAGCCTTCATTGTTGGATCCAGGTGCCATTACAGTCCACCTATTATGCCTCCAACAACCATGTTTTGCGGAGCCCATATTATATTTTTATTATTATTTTCATTTTTCAAAGGAGCCATTTGTATCAAGCTTAAAACAAAGTAAACTTTAGCTTGAGGGAGGGTGTTGGAATATATGAAAAATATATCATAATATCTTGATTGTATCTTAGAATAATTCAGAGTATCTTATATGATTTTTTTCTTTATATTTCAAGATTTTTTTCTTTATTTAACTAGGATTTGGAGTATAATATTAGTATAAATAGGGATTAGTGCTTTGTAGGTTGGATCACATCCTTCATATAACAAGAATACCAATTTAATATTATTTCCTTTCATTCTCCCTTTTCTTCCTTCCCTACCCAAACCCTTATAATTTCAACAGCTTCTCTTGCTTTCTCATTTTGGTTTAGTTGGAGTTTAGGATATTTAATTTAGGTTAAGATAGATTTTTATACATTTAGTAGGCTAGCTAAAATAAATGAAAAATAAATACTAAAAAATTAAAAAAGATAAAAACACACAAAAATATGAATTTTAAAAATACAAAAATAACTAAAAAAAGAAAGAAAAAAGAAAATTCTGATATGTTTCAGTTAGTTTAATTAGAGCTTTTTCTAGTCATTTGAAGAGTCTTGCTTATTCCCATAGGTGTTGGAATGTCGTCTTGGTTTTAATTAAATCATTCTTAAGTATTTTTGTCATTTACTTTCTTTGTTAATTAATTAAACCAATCAACCCATTAATATTTTTAAAGAACTAATTGGCTTTGATTCCCATTGGGATAACTAGGACAGGAAGTCAAGCCAAAACCAAATTTGCATAACTTTTGTTTTCTTTTTTTCTTTTCTTTTTATTTCAATAAGGATATGATAAACATTTTGAGGGTTATTAAATTTGCATAACAAGCTTAGGGCAACCACCTTAGTGCAGGAGTAATTAGGGATGCAAAGGGATTAAGTTTCCACACATCCTTGTGCATAATGGACTCCCAAATCTTGTCTGGTTTTTGTAGACAGTTTTTAGATTTTCCCATTTTTTCCTAAATTAAAAAAACTGATGGTGACTCCATATTTTTATTTTTAATTATCGCATTTTTGGTTGTGACACCACTCACTTTCCAAACAAAGGAATGGAAAATTTATTCCATTAAATCATAAAATATCCAAATAATGGTATGGTAATTTTATTCTATCCTATTTCATTTTATTCAACCCATCATTGTATATCCAAACATAGCCTTAGTTTGATGACTTCCACAAAATATTTAGGAAAGACTGATCTAAATATAATATCAATTTTAAAGTCTTACTTGCAATGCACGATCCACATATGTGAAGTGCAGAGGACTACATCGTTTGCAATAACAAATAAACCGATACTTTGACCATAGCTCCAATTGTCTCAATGCCTAGAAAAGCAAAATACAAATTGAGATGATTACAACAAGAAGCTTAGTGACAGATCAATAAAGAAGTGAAAGAACTCAATGAAGAGCTGAGAAAAAGGAGGAAAACAAAAACCAGAAAGAGCAAGAGTAAAATAAAAAACTTCACGAAAAATAAAAATTGAACTACAATTTCAACTAATATGAGAAATATATTTACATTTATGACTTATAAATGACTTTTCTTTTAAATGAAAATTTCCTAAGTTCCTACATTGTCATGCAAAGAATGTAATAAATATAACAATGAAAGCATATATTTGTGAGAAGAAGTAATCAAATAGAGCCATTGAGGGCGGAGATTGATTTTATAGTATGAAAAAAAAAAATTATATTCAAAATTTCAAATGTAATTATTGCTTCTCAAGAAATATTCTTTCCAAGGTGATATACAATTGAGAAAGATAAATACAAGGAAGTATTTAAGGGATAAAAATATATGCAATGGTTTCTTTTTTTTTTGGAGTTACCCAACCCTAATTATCTCTTTGAGACGAGTTGGCTCCCTCCGGTATCCCCACGAGCTTCGACTCTTTGAGCCGGCTATGGGACTAATCCGGAGTGCGGGGGAACAGTGATGGCTAAAGGTTCAGCCCCCTCCCCAAGAATGCATTCAGCGGGAATCGAACACATATCCAACCCCACTAACTCAGCGCCAAGTTACCAACTGAGCTGCACCCATTGGGTTGCAGTGGTTTCTTGGTACATGGCATGAAGATATCATAAAATTCTATTAACGTCAACAGTGGAGACAAGCTATAGCAAGCCCTTGAAAAAAGAAATTGTAGCACATCCGCAGGGCAGAGATGGCACAACAAATAAAATTAATAACTAGCAAAACAACCTTGATACGATCCTATCCTAGTCAGCAAACGGTTTAGAAGTGTGCATAGAAGAAAGAGAAGCAGAGGAATATTGCATAACGTTGAGTCAGCAAAAGTTGTTAGGAGTAAGTCACATTGGATGGCATGGGGTCACGTTGGGTGAGTTGGTTCTATTTAGATGAGGGGGTTGAGCATTCTCGAGGGGATGGGAAATCTTTGGGAAGTATTGGGATCCTTTTGGATATTGGGAGAGAACGAGACCTCTAGAATTGTCTCACATTATCTTTTCTGCATTTCCTTTTACTGTTAATTGCATTTTTCAGTTCATTGTATTTCCTTCCTTCTTGTAATTTGTCTCTGAATTACAGTCATTGAAGGTCCATAACAAACTCCCACCCCCCTCATTAATTTCAGAAATCTATCATAAAATTATCATTGCTATGCAGTAGAATCATTAATTATTTCCATACTCTAAACACATGATTCGAGCCATAGTTGTGTTAACTCATGAAGGCCAAGCTAACAAAAGTGATGTAGGACAAAGCAGTAAAACCACAGCTTCCTTTTTCACTGCCATTACTACAACCTATGGACATTGATACATACACAAGACACAACATGAATATTGGCATTCTGACACAATAAAATTAAGTGTACTATTAATTCATTACGATTGAAGTTTCCTGTCGTGTGTGACTAGAGTGTCCAAGTCTATCAAATTGTAGTTAAATGAATTAGATTCCTGAACTTAATAATGGGAATGCTCATCAAAACATTGAAGTCAACAACACATAGGCCAACTTTCATCTTCAACCTAAGAAGGGTCAGACTCATTGTATGGGTCTATAACAGACAGTCTTATCTTGCATTTGTAAGAAGCTGATTACATGAATCAAACCTATGACCTCTTAGTCACCTGGCGACAACAACACCTGTTGTGCCAAGATTCCCTTTATAGGCCAACTTCCATGCATGAAAAATAAACAAATAAATAAATAAAATCATTTGAAGCATACCTTAGGTTGCAAGAGATCAGTATATGCTACAGTGACCTCTTCTCCCCTCTTTATTCTCTTGATACTCCTCACAATCAATCTTGGACCATAGCCCAGCTCCCCTTCTTTTTCATACATAAAAATCATCCCAATTAAATCTTTTTTAAAAAAAAAAAAAGCATATAATCATATAGCCTTAAGTCATAACTAACAATGAATTAACAAATATAAAACTTAAAAAATCAACACCTTTTGCAAGTTCACTACTGCTACTGCCACAAACCCCGCTATCTATCTGCAAAACACAATTATCATCTCAATAAATAACACAAGCAAAATATAGCAGAAAAATTTCACAAAGTAGTAGAAAATAAAAGTACTAGTGGTTGTTGAGAATGGCGAGTGAATGGGCCTATGAGAAGTTTGTGTTTCTCAGAAGGCGAAGACGAAGAAGAAGAAGAGAGTGTGAAGCGGTAGCATGCGTTGGGGGAACAACTATGGTTAATCCAAGAGAAGGTGGTGTCGAAAACCGCGATCCCAAGGGTGCGCCCTTCGTTATCCTGCACCTCCACGGCGTTCGTTAGCACCGCGCAGAGAGCAACCGTCGCTTCCTCTAAAACGGCGTCGTCGTTTTTGCAGCCACGCTGCTTCGCTATCGCTGCAGCCATGGCACTGGCGCCGACCCTGATTTTCTCAAAGACCTCCAAAACGGTGTCGTCGTCGTGGGAGGGATTTTGACACGTCAGCTCTTGGCGGTTGGAGAGTAACCCGGCGACCCGACCCGATGCGGCGGGACGGTGGTTGCTGAGGAGGCGGAGGGCGGCACGGAGGTCGCAGGAGTCGGCGGAAGGAGGGAGGTGGCGCTCGGCGGAGGAGATGTGGAGGGAGGAATGGGCGGCGGAGCATGGAGGGGAACAGTAGAAGGGTGAAAGAGGATTGGGATTGAGATTGAGATTGGAAACAGAAGTTGAAGATAGGAGAGAGAAACAAGCAGAGCAGTGAGTGTGGATATGAGAATTGTGGAGAGAGAAAGTGAGAGGGGCTAGTGTTTGGGTTATGTCTTGGCCTAATTCAATGTCTTCCATGGCTCTCATCTCCATCTCCATCTCCATAATTGTGTCCCTTCCATGCCTTTCAACTTTCAAGTTGTCTTCATAAATAAATTCATTTAAACTAACATTTTTTCCTTGAACTAAATTAAAATGCTTTTTATGAGTATTTATTACAATAAATAAATTCAAATAAGTTAGTCTTAAAAAATTAATAAAAAAATTAAAGTAAAATTTGTTGTTTAATCTTTGTTTGCTAGAAAGTAAATCAAGAGACAACTGGTGTATTACCCGTGCGATGCACAGAAAAAAAAAAGATTAAATTTTTTGTTGATTAATCTCTGAAAAAAGAAAGAACATGTCATTATTTCTCTCTCTATATATATATGTGTGTGTGCCCCTGCGATGCATAGAGGAAAAAAGAAATCGATTTGTTTGTCTCATAAAAATTAACGCAAATCGTAAAAGTATATCGCTGCATTTTATGCATTTAAGATAATAAATGATCTTTTGAATTACCACATTTAACTTCAACTATGAAGTGTTTATTGAGATATTAACGTACTAACTTAAATATTTGCCAACTCTACATGTACAAAAAGTTCGAATTAGGTACTCATAGTGTTAGTTAGACACTAACATCCCTTCAGACCGAGCCGCCTATTTTGTCATCTCTAACTGTTAACATTTATATCAACATGGTTTGTTAAATAGTAAATATAAGAGAGAGAAAATGTTTTGGCGGGTTAACCCGCCCGTTTGGAAGTTGAGGTGGGTCGGCCTTCCGGGCCTAACCCATTTTGCCACCTCTAACTGTCAGCATTTTATATCAACATGTAATAAATGAAGAGTTGTCTCTAAATTGACTTTTATGAAGTGTGTGTATTTGTGACATCTATATTAAATGAAGAGCTGGTTTGAGCTATTACGTTTAATATTCTAACAAACACTTAGTCATATAAAGACGAATTCGTTAGACAGTAAATATAAGAAGAAGAAAAATGTGTTGGCGGGTGGGGTGGGTTGGCCCTTCGGACCGAAACCAATTTGCTACCTCTAACTGTCAACATTTTATATCAGCATATAAAGTTTTTATATTTAAACATTTCGCTTTTCCTACAGTCAATGTAGATAACTTATCTACATTGAGCCCAAAACGACGTCGTTTTGAGAGCGAATGTAGATAAGTTATCTACATTCAATGTAAAAATATTAAAGCCTTAAACATAATAAGTTATGCTTGATTTATATTTGAAAGTCACATAATTTTATAATTATAAATATAATTATAAGTGTAATTTTACTTTGTTTTTAAGTATATATATTCAATTATTTGATTTTACTTTCCAAAAAATTGACCGGTATTACTCCACAGTTCGATATCATGCTAATTCTTTTGATTGTAAGTGTAATAACAACACCGGTTAAAATAAATAAATAAATAAAATTCCTTTCATTTGTTTGTCTCGTAAAAGTTAACACAAATCATAAAAGTATATAGCTGCATTTTAGCTTATCTTGTAGTCATTCAGAAATTACGTAGTTTGACTCGGCTTCTTTATGTATTTATCAAAGATGGACTTTCATTTATCACAATCTAATTGTTCATTTTATTTAGATGCTTGTTTATGAAATATTTACAACACCAAGTTCAATTATCTTAGCCGCACAAAGACGAATTTATTATACAGTAAATATATATAGATATAAATAAAAGTGTTGGCGGGCAGGGCGGGCCAAGCCCATTTTGCCACCTCTAACTGTCAGCATTTTATATCAACATATAATAGGTTTTTATATTTATCTATAAAAAAAGGGGAAAGGATATTGTGACAACCAAGTTGTGTTACTACCAAGTGACTACCAATCAATCTCACCGTTAGATCAATTATGTTGATCCAACGGTTATATTTATTTCCATCTTTGTATGGTCATGATTTCCCATATTTAAAGTGAAAGCATTAAATATGGAAAATCATAACCATACAAAGGTGAAAATAAATATAAAGTATTAAATTTGAGAAATCATGACCACACAAAGATGGAAATAAATATAAATGTTGGATCCACATAATCGATCTAACGGTGAGATTGATTGGTAGTCGCTTGGTAGTAACATAACTTGGTTGTCACAATATCCTTCCCAAAAAAAATTATAGTCGTGTATATATTACTATCTATCTATGTTTTTTATAGTTGACTCTAAATTGATTCTTTGAGATGTGTATATATATATATATATATATATATATATATATATATATATATATTAGATGAAGAGTTAAAAAATATTTAAGTTATAATGTTTAATATTCTAACAGACACTTCATAGTTGGCATGCAAAATAGCGTTAAAATAATAATATACTCCAAAATATTGAATGATCATTCATTTTAATTGAGTAATTAATAAGAATAAATAATTATTTTTTTGCTAGGATTTGCGGCCTTAATATTTGGAACTTTACAAATTAGTATTTACAAAATTGAAATCAGATTTAGGAAATTAATTATAAATGATGAAAAGTGAAATTTTAATTTAATTATAAAAACGTGTTGGCGGGCTAACGTGTTTGTTTGATGGGCTGGCCCTTTAAACGTGTTCGAATTTTCTCTTTTTAAATTATTTTTTTAAGTTAAATTTTTAATTTATTTTCTTTTGTAGTATGAATATGTCATTTCTTATTTTTTATTTCAATTATTTTTTATCAATTATACATATATTTTTATAATTTTAAATATTTTTCTCATTTAATTTGTAATTTTATGTTAAATTTAAATTTTATTATATATATATATTTTTTCACTATAGAAATATTAAATTCTAAACTATTTTCATGCTTCTCAAATTTAAATTCAAATAAAAAAATTTAAATTTTAAATATTAAATATTTTTCCACCCAATAGACATAATAATTAATATTATTAATAGACTTAACAATTTTGCATGCAGAAAGTAGTGGGAAACATTAAAATAGTCCGTACAATACTTAATGACAAACATTTTTTTTACGATACAAGAGTTGGATGGTCACTAGTCACTGAATGGTCATTCATTTTTATAATGATTTAATTTTTATAATTTATTTTTTACAGAATGATAGATGTCATTTTTTTATTTAAATTAAAATTTTGAATTCTATTATAATGATATAGATATTTTTTGCAACATTAATTTTTATCTTTTAATTTATAATTTTTATATTGGATATACACATATATTTAAAATGTTTATGTTACATATTTTATTAGAAAAATACTTGTACGAAATTTTTTTTCTCTTTCTGTAATATTTTTTTAAGTTAAACTTTTAATTTATTTTCTTTTAAAGAATAAATAAGTCATTCTTATTTTTTTTGCATTTAAATTTGAAATTTAAATTACTTTTTATCAACTCTACATATATTTTTATAATTTTAAATATTTTTTCATTTAATCGATAATTTTTATTATATTTAAATTTATATATATATATATATATATATATATATATATATATATATATATATATATATATTGCCACTGCCACCACAGAAACTTTAAACGCTGAATTCTTTTCTTACCCATCAAGTTCAAAATTCAAATTTAAATAGTTTAAATTTTAAATATTAAATATACTTAATAATTTTTCATGCAGAAAGTAGTGAAAAATATTAAAATAATTTGCAAAATACTTTATGGCTAACATTTTTTTATGATGCAAGAGTTTGATAGTCATTCAATAATTATTAATTTTTATAGTGATTAATTTTTTATAATTTATTTTGTACAGATGACAGATTTCTTTTTTTATTTAAATTAAAAATTTAAATTTTTTGTGTTTTTTTATGCATAATTATTTTGTATTAATTACACATATTTTTTGAAATATTAATTTTTTATCTTTTAATTTAATTTTTTAATGTTTTTTATACATATATATCTTGTCCCAAGCCAGGATAAAGGAGGAGAGTTGACGTCAGGTGTTGCGAACCGGCCGTAAAAAACAGCTATATTTTTATGTGATGAACCTATATGATATTTCGTTGGGGCGTACCCTTCATAGCGACGCGTTGCATCGGGCCCCGGGTGTAGCGAAAAATGGGCTAGGGTCCTTGCCACAGGGCAAGGCGCTGCATCGGGCCCGGGGTGTAGTGAAAAGTGGGCTAGGGTCCTTGCCCCAAGGCAAGGCGCCAGGTCTTCACCCGGATTTGGTGAGAAGTATGCCAGGGTCCCAACACGCAGATGGGCGAGCGTGGTGGGCAAGCATAGCCCAGGGGTTAAGGATGAGATTGGGAAGCTGGAACATAGGAACCTTAACGGGTAAATTGAGGGAGTTGGCATATGTTTTTGCTAGAAGGAAAGTGAATATTGTTTGTTTGCAAGAAACTAAGTGGGCTGGAGAAAAGGCCAAGGAAGTGGATGGAATTGGTTTCAAGTTATGGTACACAGGTACTAACAAGAGTCAAAATGGTGTTGGAATTATGATCGATAGAAGTTTCAGAGATAAAGTTGTGGACGTCAAAAGGAAAGGCGACAGGATTATTCTGGTTAAGCTTGTTGTGGGTGATTTAATCCTGAATATCCTCAGTGTGTATGCACCCCAAGTTGGATTGCAACCTATTGATAAAAGCAAATTTTGGGAAGACTTGGAGGAGGTTTTACGGGAAATACCTCGAGAGGAGAAGATTTTCTTAGGAGGAGATCTAAATGGTCATGTTGGTAAAAGCAATGGAGGTTTTGATAGAATTCATGGAGGTTTTGGCTATGGGACGAGAAACGAGACTGGAGAAGATATCTTGAATGTTGCATTGGCCTACGATTTGATGCTAGTGAACACCTTTTTTCGAAAAAGGGAGTTACATCTAATCACTTATCATAGTGGCCAAAATCGTAGTCAGATTGATTTCTTTCTGGCTAGAAGAGAAGATAGAACTTCTTGTGTCGACTGTAAGGTCTACCCTGGAGAGTGTGTCGCTACGCAACATAAGCTGGTAGTCTTGGATGTTCGGTTCAACAAAGTACTTACAATGAGAAAAAGGGCTCAGAACCCAAGGATAAGGTGGTGGAAGCTTAAGGAGGGAAAAGAGAGAGAGTTCAATGAAAGAATGTTGCACGAAGGACCTTGGGAGTTTGATGGAGGAGTAAATGCAATATGGAATGAGATGTCTCAGTGTATTCAAAATATGGGAAGGAGGGTGTTGGGAGAAAGCAAAGGAAATGGATTTCATACAAAGGAAACACGGTGGTGGAATGGAGAGGTGCTAGAGGCAATTAAACATAAGAAGGAGTGCTTTAGATCTTTGCATAAAAGTCCCAGTGAAGAGAACTTGCAAAAGTTTAGATTGGCGAGAAAAAATGCAAAGAAAGCAGTGCGAGAAGCTAGAGGCAAGGTTTTCAACGAGTTGTATAAAAATCTTGGGAGCAAGGATGGTGAAAGAGGTATTTATAAACTTGCAAAAATAAAGGATAAGAAAAGTAAAGACCTCACCCAAGTTAGATGCATCAAGGATGAAAATCAAAAAAATTTGGTGAGAGATGAAGATGTGAATGAAAGATGGTTGAACTACTTCAACAAGCTGTTTAATGGGGATGGAGATACAAGCGAGGTGGACTTGGAGGACGCGTATGCTGATATGAATAGAAGATTTATGCGCAGAATTAATACACATGAAGTTAAGGAGGCTTTAAAGAGGATGAAGACTAGTAAAGCCCTGGGGCCTCATGGTGTCCCTATTAAAGTGTGGAGAGGCCTGGGGGATGTGGCAATAAAATGGTTGACCAATCTTTTCAATAAGATTCTCCAGACAAATAAGATGCCTGATGCATGGAGGAAAAGTATGATTGTGCCTATCTACAAAAACAAGGGAGATATACATAATTGTTCAAACTATAGAACTTGTAGTAATAACTTACTTCATTGTTCTTACATTCTTCCAGTTCCTATTGTAGTCCTTCCAACAATATATCATCCCTGCAAAATTAAGCTAACCGAAACATATGAAACTTGTAGTAACACCATTTTAAATCTAAATCACAAGCTTAAAAGTGTACAAACCAAATCGAAAGATAATAAACATAAAATATATCTTAAATTTGAAAGGCAGAGTAGAAGAAAGTGTACACCTGCTTGGATCCTCTTCCAACGTTATTTGCTCAACAAATGCTCCCAAATTGAAATAAAGTACAGAACAATGAACATGGAAGATCAGCAAACATAATATAGAAAATTATAAACGCACAAATAATGAGTAAGCTTATGCAAAAGAACAACTTAAGAAGATGAAGAAGATAAACAGACATAAATAAAAGAAATATATTTACAAAAGAAGATTACCATAGGAAAATATGCAGCACCACATATCCTACTTATACATGTACTACATTCTAAATTCGTTTTTAAACTCATTTTTCTATATTAAAATTTATTTTTTATAGCTTCTAACAATTAATAGGATTAAGTATTACCCATGCAAAAAGTAGTGGGAACAATTAATAAGCTTAACAATTACCCATGCAGAAATTAGTGTGAACAATTAATAAGGTTAACAATTTCAATATAGAAAGTAGTGAGATATTAATACAACTGTCTCCCACTAACAAATCTTAAAAAATAATGATAATTCAAATTCGAATTGTTTCACATAAATGAATTAATAACAATCACTACAAAAAAAAATCTTATTAGTGACGAAATTTTATGAAATTTCATCAGAAATTCTTACGTCGCAAGTAAATTTCGTCATAAATTCCTCATCGCAAGTTTATTTGTGACAAAATTTGATTATTTGTGTCAAAAATTGTCATTTGTGACGAAATTTATGACGAAATTTTTAGTCACAAATAAACTTTTTTCTCGTAGTGAATTGAAATTCGAAATGTTTCTATAAGAGGAAAAAAATTGAAGTAAATGTAGTGTGAACACAAAGTGAAGAATGCATGAGAAATTGACACGTCATCAAACTTGCCAACAAATGGTTTTGCTTTAGAATAGATATAGATATGCAAAATAAGAGCCTAACTTGCTTAACACGAGGGCATGTGCGTAATGTCATTTGCATGCACTTTTTTTTCAAAATCTTTTTATTCAAAAAAAATAAAAAATCCTTTCGCTAATATATGAGTGTTTGGATATTTGTGTTTTTTAAAAATAAAAGTTACCAAAAAAAAGAAGAAGTAAAAAACATGCTCTTTCTCTTTCTCTATTTTTTTTTTACCAAAAGGTCAAATTTTTAGCTTATAAGGAATTAGAAGTTAAAAATTAAATAGTTTTTCAAAAATCAAAATTTGTCTCAACCTCAACTTCAATCCATCCAATCTTTTTCTCTGTCGTCACCACCACCATTATTCTCGTTGCTGCCAACGCCACCACACCCCTCAATCAACTTATCATTGTTATGTCATCACCACAACTCCAACCTTAATCGATATCATCTCTGTCACTAGTACCACCACCACCACACCTTCGTCATCACTGCCACCACTTTGACATCACCATCACCCTAACTCCATTATCCTGCCGCCATTACTACCACCATCTTTCCGCCACCGTCTCTATCATCACTAAACTTTTTCCCATAATTTGTTTTCACATATCATTTGTTACGGTTTAATTAGTAGTCTTAGTTACTTAGATGTATTAAAAATTTGGTGGGAAAAATTTTCCTATCCAACTCGACGAGATTAGTTGAGTAATCAATGAACTGGGGGGAATTTTTTTAAAGAAAAACTCAATTTTCTTATTTGTTGTATTTTTATTCCATCTCATTTTACTTTTCTATGATGTTTTGAAAATTAACAGCTAACTTAGTCTTTTAAACCATACCTAGGTTTCAGTAATCTAGTGCCCTCATCGATTTGAGTTGGGCATTAAATAGGTTATGTACTCGAATCAGACCAAAACTAGGTTCAATCGCCGTTTTATGTTAAATTGTGTAAAATATATACATTTTGCAAGCAACGAAATTCGAACGTAAGTCCCCTTGTTTGAGGATCGAAAGGCTTACCAATAAACCACTTTTATTTATTAGACATAGTTGTTTAAACCATACCTGGGTTTCAGTAATCTAGTGCCCTTACCGATTTGAACTGGGCATTAAATTGATTATGTACTCGAACCAGATCAAAACCGAGTTCAATCGGTGTTGAACCGTTTTATGTTAAATTGTGTAAAATATATACATTTTGCAAGCAACGAGATTTGAACGTAAATCCCCTTGTTTGAGGATCGAAAGGCTTACCCGTAAACCACTTTTATTTATTAGACATAAAGTTCATAATTTAATATTTATTATATATTATTTTGAAATTTGCTTGAACCTGGTTGACCCAGTGACTCAATGGCCCAATACCTCGACCGTGTCGATGACCAGTCCGAGCTTTAAAACATTGGTTTAAACTTGCAAATGTGAGTGCTTACAAGTTCGTGTTTACCACTAATTTGGGTTGCCAATTAGTTTGGGTTCATTTTTATCTTTTTCAATCTCTTTGTATCTTTCATTTGAGTTCATCTATCATCGACCTCAATTAATTTGGGATAAATGTATTGTTGATGTTGATTAAATAAGATGCCAATTAATATTTTGAAGTACTTAACATTTGAATTTATTAAATATAAATAAGGACAAAACTCGCATCAACATTTGGATACTCAACAATGTTAATATTTTTTGGGTTGAAATCAACGATGAGATTAGACATAACTTTTTGAACATACATGTCTAATTAAATTGATCTTGTAAATTAATTAATCAATCGACACATTTTTTTTTAAAACATAATAATGAATGGAAACATGTGAAGAAGGAAATTGGACAGTTGTTGTAATTTGCAATTATGATGGTAAATGTAATGGACATGTAGTAAGTGTTGGAAGTCCAAATTGAATTTATGTATCAATCAATTATTATTTTGGTGACTTATGGGCCAGGTTGTTTTTAATTTTTTTTAATCTATCAATGAAGAATTTATGTATTTTTTTTCCATTGGTCGGTCTAATAATTATTGGGTTGGATAACACATAGGTCAAAATTGTATTAAAAACAACCAATGAAAATCCTTGTAAGTTAGAGTAAGCTAAAATTTGATAAAATTAGGCTTAAACTTGAATTAGATGGCATAATTAAATTGTGTAGTAAATTTTACGGGATCTTATACTAATGTAATTATGGTTAGATTAATTTTTAAAATTTAGTCAAAGCTCTAATTAAAATCAATCAATAAGGAGCCTTATAAGTCAAAGTGACGACAAGTTAGCAATTAAATGTAATGACTAAGTTACCATGATATTTTCATCACCAAATTTTTCCCACTTAATGGAACTCCTTGGCCAACCTATATAGATGAAGGAAGAGGATTGATTACTAAGCTATCAATTAAATTGGTTAAAGGAAGAGGAAAGTCAAAAACGGTGGTTATAAGTCATTTTATTAAAGTAAAGCTTTCTAAATTGAATTGTCTTCTTATTCTTCCTGCAAAAGCCACGAAATTTCTGCACCTTATTTGAAAGTAAAATGGCCTTGAAGGCCGATGCATGTGAGGGGGAAAAACAAAATTTTTTCTCAAGCGGAATCACACATGCAATCAAGATTCATGCTTTAAGACAGCATGATGTTACCTTTGTTTGTGATTCGAACTCCAAGTTGATCAATGTCAGGTT